CGGCCGCCCGCGGGCCTCTCTCAGGGACTTCAGTTGTAGGGTTCAGTCATTTCTCACACCTTCAGGGTTCAGGGACTTGACCTGGCAGGCTTGGGAAGCTGCTGGGCCGAGGGAAGGCGAGGCAGGTGGGACGGGCAGGCTCACAGCTCCTCTCCTCTGTGGGAAGAACAGACACCCTCAGGCATGCCCCTGGGCAGCCAGCGCCAACCTGCCCGTGCTGCTGGCACAGCCGGGAACGTGCCCGTGGTCCCAGACAGGAGCTTTCCCGTGGATGCGTCCCCCTCCCCTTACAACCGCTGCGGTCCTGCCACCCCTGCCCACCTCTCCCCCGCTCCTGCCCTCCCAGCACCCGTCAGGCAGCAGTCAGGCTGGGAGCTGAGGCCCGCAGGGCTGTCACACACCTAGTCTGGGACTTGTTGTCCTTCTCCTCTGCCTTGAGGTGGCACCGGCACGTGGAGGCCTTGCTGTAGCTGACGGAGCGCTTGGTGGACTTCTTCCACTTCTGCGCACGCCGGACAACCCGCTTGAAGATGAGGTAGAAGATCTCACAGACGGTGAGGACAATGCAGATGGAGGAAGCTCCGACCATGAAATAGGTGAAGACTCTTTTCTCGGTTGGCCGAGCGATGTAGCAGTCTACAATGTTGGGGCAGGGGTCCACATTGGAGCACTTGACCAGCCGTGGCAAGTCGAAGCTGTCCCACATCTTGTGGAGGAGGTAGAGGAACAGGATCTCTATGATAAGCTTGAAGAAGAGGCTGAGCAGGTAGGTCCACCACAGCCCGCCGTGCTTCTTGCCCGTGTTGCTGTAGAGCTTGGGGCAGTCCTCCCCGTTCTTCTCCCGGTTCTTCTTCTCGCGGTCCTCCCTGTAGGCCACGTGCATGATGACCAGGAGGGAAGGACAAGTGACAAAGATGAGCTGCAGGGCCCAGAGGCGGATGTGGGAGATGGGGAAGAAGTGGTCATAGCAGACGTTGGTGCAGCCCGGCTGCCGCGTGTTGCAGTCAAAGTCCTTCTGCTCGTCTCCCCACACGCGCTCAGCAGCCACCACATAGACCAGCACACGGAAGACAAAGACCACGGAGAGCCAGATGCGGCCGAAGGCTGTGGAATACTTGTTGACCCCACTGAGCAGCGCCTGCAGCGTCTTCCAGTCCATGGTGGCTGGTGGGGACCAGAGTCACCCAACCTGGAGAAACACCAGCAGAAGCAGGGGGTGAAGAGCAGTGAGGGGCAGCTCATCCTTTGCTACTCTTCATTCACTGACCCCCTGGATTCTGTCCCCCCCCGATTCCATCCTGGATTTGGGGTGGAGGGACCATCCCACTTGCAGACAGTAAAGCCCGTCCCCACACTCGTCTGGTGATGGAGGTGACTCAGCCTCTCTGCACTTCCTTCTGACTGAGCCTTTGCTGTAAGGGATGAGCCACCCGGCCAGGTCCCAAACCCAGCCTGATTGCGTGTGGTGGTGTAAATTGGCAGCGTGATCCACTGGAGCGGGCCAGGATCAACAGGGAGAGGCCATGCCCAGGCAGCGGGCAGGGAGAGCTTGGCACGTCAGCAAAGCAAAGGTCTGTGTGTACGCCAGGACCCTTGGGATAGGGTGGGAGGGGACCCTGCAGCACATTCCCATCCCCAACCGTGTCTTCCTTCTCCCCCGCTGCCTGCAGGGCCATGTGCTGGTGCCCACCAGGATGGGCCCCCAGTGCCTTTGGCTTCCCAGCACTGAGGTGCAGGGTCACTGGTTGCTTTGTGTTCCCCTTCCATGGTGGGAAGGATGGGGGGCAGTGAGATTCCCCTGGAAAACCACCCTGGCAGGGGCAGGGCTGCGCTGGCTCCCCTTCGGTGCAGCACCAGACCAGCAACGCACCCCAGCGCACTCCCCTGCACAACCTGCACCAGCACGTTTTGGGGGTGGATGCGGAGCTTTACCATAGTGGAGATCCCGTGGGATCCCAGCTGGTCCCAGCCTTCCCTGAGCCTCAGTTTCTCCATGGGCGAAATGGGATAAAGCAGCTGCCCTGCTC